TATCATATTTCGTTTTGGGAACAAATTCCGCAACTCTTTTAAATCAAAGGATTACTCTGAAATTGTTTTAAAAGCATAAATTAAACCGGTCTTTTCTGGCCGTGATTTTGGGGATGTCACACAACCCCTTACGCTGCGCGTTCTGAGAGTTACGCCCAGCGTAAGTCTCAGTTTCAGCCTTTCTTGGATTTTGGTCTTAAACGGTTAAGATATAAACTCAAACTCCAGATCTCACTTCTCTAAGACCACTTAATCCATAAAGTCGAGACCTTTAAGCCTTTGTATGGCTGTAAAGGTCCCTAATCACTCTAACACCTTTCCTTCTTCCTCATAAGGTCTAGATCTCCTGCATGGCTCAATATTCACGTCCAAGATTGGATTTTTATGAACATACAACTCATATTACCCTGAAATATGGCAGATCTAGACCAATGGAGACCATTTGCTCATAAAGTCTCCACCTTGGGACCAAAAACCCTAAAAATTGGTCCAAGAAGCACAAATCACAAATGACAAGGAAAGCTTTGAGCTTTTGACCTCAGAAAGAAGCTCCAACCTCTGTAGAACTCGGATATACTCTTGTCCACCAACTTCTAGCTCCTAAAATGGCCTCCTCTTCTCTTTCACCACCTTGAAATAGCACTTTGAAGCTTAGAACACACACACACACAAGCTAGGAACGAAGGGTAGCTCTCTATTAGGGTTTCACTCTCTGAAATGGTGGCTGAGGATAAGGCCTTAACATTCATTTGATAGTGTACAAGCCACAAATTAGGGTTTGCATCTGGGCCCGCTACGCCCAGCGTACCTAGGCGAGTCCGCGTCCAACTTAAGCGCATGAGTACGCGCAACGTACTCTTCAGTACGCCCAACGTACTCATTTGCCTTAATATTCTAATTAAGGGCTTAACTTGACAATCTTGGAAAAGGAGAAGGGTTTAAGAGACGCACCTGAAATTCGGGATGTTACAATAGGTGTTGGAGTTGGAGCTACATTTGGAGGAGTTTGACACTACCTTCCGAGCTACTTGCGAGGTGAGTTATCCTCACTATATCAACAGGGTCTACGGCACCAAGGCCGGGCCTTTATCGGATTTGTATACGGGTATTTGCATGATATGTTTACTGATCTGTTAGATCTGCGTCCTGGTAGTTAGGACGGTATTATGTTAGTGACCGGTTAGGTCGGTATCCTGGTATATAGGATGATGCTATGTTAGTGACCGGTTAGGTCGGTATCCTGGTTATAGGATGTTGCTATACTATATGATCTGTTAGATTTGGTTTGTTTGTCTATAGACTGTTATGTGGATATCTGTTATATGTGCACATGGTTTTTTTGATTGGGGGTTGGGTTGAGGCGGGTCCTGCTTTGTGCTGTATGCCAACATACCCAGGGCGGACCGGATAGACTGCAGACCCGGGAGGGCACATAATCAGGTCGAACGCCCGACGAGCGGTCCGGATAGGCTGAAGGCCCCGAGAGGGCAGTCCAGACGTGCCGAGGCTCGGAGAGTGGGCCAGATACACTGAAGGCCCGATGTGGGCGGTCCAGTCATACTGTAGACTCAGAGAGTGGACCAGGTGGACTGAAGGCTCGGTGCGGGCGGACCAGTCACACTGTAGACTCGAGATGCATGGCTGTTATGTATTTGTTGATATGTTATGATTATGGTTATATGAGGTTGGTATTTTGGGGGTAACTCACTAAGCCTTCTAGCTTACATTTATCGATTATTGTTTAAGGTGCAGCGACTGATCGCGGAAAGGCGAAGGCGTGACCGTACACTTCCTCGATTTATGATTATGATTTCTGGGAACTCTGATATTAAACTATTTTGGAAACCTTTTTGTAATAACTATTGGTATTTTGAATGTTTTAAAAGTTTAAATTTGGCATGAATATTATAGGTGTTACAATAATCTCCTTCTTGCTTGTGTTGGGTGTGAACCATTACAGGCACGACACTTGTGGTGCTTGATTCCAAAAGATCAACAAGAGGATTTTTAGTTGTTTACAATAACAATTAAAATGTATGTAACCCGAAAACTTTTTCTTTAGTAATTTTGAAAATTACCTAGGGTTTCTAGGGTTCTTATTTTTATGTTCATAGTTATAGGTTCAATAGAGAAAACATAGATCTTGTTTTAGGTTTCATGCACGCTTAAGAGTTTTACGTTTGTTTTGTTATGCCTAAAACCCATCACGTACCTCATCCCATTCTTAGCCAATGGGCCAAGAGAAATTAGATTCTTCCAAAGTTCTGGAATGTACCAGCAATCTAACTTTCTGATCATGCCATCATGTATCTTGATCTGCACCGTGCCACTACCTTTGATACTGCTCACCCAATCATTACCCATCTTGACTGTGCCATCCCACTCTTTGAAGGAGTCGAACCAGTCATGATTATACTTCATGTGATAGGATGCTCCAGAATCCAAGACCCAAGCATCAGCAGAACTTGATGTACTCACAATCAGTACATCACCATCGTCCCCTTCATCGGAACTTTCCTGAACCACAACAACATTGTTATTGCTGCTTGATTCACTATTGGACCTCCCATTCTTCAGCTGTCGACAATTTCACAGTTATAACACTTGGCATTTGATGAACCTTTAGACTTCGACTTAAAACATGATCTCCCTCTGTTTCCTCCTTTCTTCTCTTCTTTCCTCCCTCTCCCTGCAAACAAACCAAAACTGAACACCTCCTCTCCAACTGAAACTTTTCTTTTCAGTTCCGTGGACATCAGAGAGTCCTTCACATCATTCACAGTGATCATTGTCCTACCATAAAGCATGGTATCAACGAAATTATCATATGAGTTAGGAAGAGAACATAAGAGAATGAGCGCCTGATATTCATCTTCAATCTTCACATCAACCCCTTGTAGATCCAAGATGATGTGATTGAAGTTATCCATATGATCTTTCACTTGGGTACTTTCAGACATTCTGAGAGTGTACAACCTTTTCTTCTGATACAACCTATTAGTCAGTGATTTGTTCTGGTACTTGTCACAAAGTTTATCCCAGAGCCTAGAAGTAGTTTTTTGATCCACGACCTCCCTCAATACTTCATTTGTCAAGCTCAATAGAATGACACTATGTGCCTTCGTCAGAATGTCCACCTTCTTTTCATCCGCCATTTGGCAGTTTTGTTTCTCCTTCCAGTGCCATTGCACATCCTTGTTGAACGAGAAGAGCCTTCATCTTCACCTTCCACAATGTGAAGTCATTTGAACCATTGAATTTCTCAAATCAAACTTGTGAGAAGACATCTTCAATCACAGGAATACAAACCGCAACTCTGATACCACTTGTTAGGAAGTAAAGCGGATAACTAGCAAAACTATAAGCATACAAGACACAGTGTTTACGTGGTTCGGTCAAGGTGACCTACGTCCACGGGCAGGAGGGGAGTATTCTTTTATTTCAGAGCTCTCAAAAAGAGGTTACAAGTACAATTTCACAGATATTCGCCTATCACTCTAGAATTTAAGATACCAAATGACCTAGCATGCATCCCTATTTATACTTGATGGATCAGACCTAAAACCCTAATGGGCCAAGCCCATTGGCCCATGAAAGGTGTCAACCAATCACAATTCGCCATGCAACATCTTCTGGAACATTCTTCCATGTCATACAACCCACGAGCATCGGCAACACACATGATGGAGCATCTTGTGTCAAGGGGAGCATCATGATATACAAGTGGCACATCGAGAACACTAATGGCCTAACATCCATCATGGTGGCACAACATGGTGTAATCCTTGAGCAATACCAACTTCTGAGCATCCTTGAACGATCTTGAGCATCATGGAGGACTTCATAGCATACTTGGCTCATCAAGGACCAAGATGGTCCAACTTGCGCCCTGATGGCGCAACAAGTGTATGGACGGTGTAACAGGCTTCAAGTGTGGCACAAGAACATCAAAATTGAAGCAACAAAAACACCTTGGCGCAACAAGAACATACATGGCGCAACAAGGTCATGCATGGCGCAAGAGCATACTTCATGGTGCAATAGGAGTACCCCATGGTGCAAAAGGGATCCTCATGGCACAAGAGGAATCCCTCATGGTGCAAGAGGGAGTATAATGGGCAAGAAGGAATGCCCTTGGCGCAACAACATCCTTCTTGGCCCATCCCTTCAACATATGGCGCAACAAGGTTCCCTTGTTGCTCCATATCACTCCCAAGTGCTCCAAACCTCTTCCAGGTTCTCCAAACCCCCTTTTGTATGATCCGTTCCTTTGGCACTTGATCCGTTCCTTTGTCAGATGATCCATTCATTTCTCAAATGATCCTTTCCTTTATCACATGCTCCATGAACCCCAAGTGCTCCATTGAGTTCTAAGTGCTCCAAATGCTCGAGTCACATTTAACAGTCACTTTAATGGTTAGTAATTTATAGCAATTCATCTTTATTGTTGCAAATTCTAACATTTGAATGTTTTTCCCATTACCAGTAAAACCCATCGAATCGCCCCTTTTTCTCCCGTTAACCCTCATTAAAAACGTCAGTTTTTAGTCAATTGAGCTTTTAAAAATCTGGGTACAAAAGAGACGATATAAGGGCAATCAAGGGGAAATTTCTCGAGGTGAACCAATACGATGGAAGACGTTGGCGACACCATTCTCCATTCTCCATTTTTGGTTTATGATCGAAGGAAAGAGAAACGCACCTCTAACTATGTGGGAAGAAAGAGGGACGAAGAGGATAAAGTGGTAATCTGGTCGGTGAATGGTGAATAAAACATTATGGATGGGTAAAAATGGTCATTTTACAATGCTTTAGTAGCCTAATACTAACATATTTAGTAGGTGGGACCAATATCGAAACAAAAGCCAAAGTTACCGACAAACTTCCAACAAAATCGAAGGTTGGATATTGGAACTTAGATGCATAGTAGAGGGACCATTTGTGTACAATTCACAATAGCAATAAAATGCAAAGATGGGGTTCGTTTCAAATGCATCCGATCAGAATCGGAAAAAAGAATACTCCTCAAACTCCATCGTTCCTTCTTTCCCCTTTCAATTCTCCGTAATCCCAGACAAACTCACTGCCGATTCGCTCAAAAAACTTGATCACAATCCTCAACCCTATAAAAAGAAACTCTAAATTATCAAATTTCCCCCCTTTTACAACCCTAATTCACCTTACTTCTTACAATCTTGTATACATGGTTACTGATAGCTCCCCCAATTTCGACGATGGAGCTGACATTTTTTCTCCAATGGTATCGATTCCCCCTTTTCAATTTGGCTTTGATCTTCAATTTACATTAGCGATATATGTTTCAGAAAGTGTAGCTTTCTGATCGGTTTATGGTAATCACATATGTATGATCTTGATTCTTGATTTAGATTGTCAAACATTCCTTTCCTTAGTGTGGAATAAAGCTCTATTTGTTTCTTTTATTCAATTCGATATTAATTGCAGCTAATGATGAGTTTAATTCATCCCGTCAGCACATACCTTTTACTATAGTCGCAATCTAGGTAAAACAATAATTTCCTAGGATGAATTTCTTGAAAGTATTTGCAATATTAAACTGGGATTAGCTGATAATTAGTGTGATTATGTGTAATCTTGATCAATTTCTGTTATCGCATCATTTAAAAGACGACTCGGGGACTTGTTCTTTTTTAAATAGGTGCCAAGTGAAAGTGATTCTATGGTGATAAAGAGAAAAGAAATGACAGGTCTTGAGCTCGAAGGGAGCAGAAGGAAGAAAAAGAAGAAGCAAAGTGGTACACCTCGTCCTGCTTGCTCTTGGGTACATTTTAGGTGATAAAAAAAATATAAATTTTCTTATTACTCATTTGCGTCTCCTTTTAATACATGGGTTAATTTTTTGCTATACGTATTGTTAAAAATGTTGTAGCCGTGAATTCATCAAGGAGTACAGTGCTTCACATCCCGAATCTTCTGGTCTGAAAGTTGTAAGCATCTGATGATAAAAAATCATTAAAAATTGTTAAATGGGGTTCATGTTGATGTTGATGTTATCTTCTTTCAGGCAACAAGAGCAGCTTCAGATGCATGGAAAGTGATGACTTTAGAAGAAAAGTCAAAATACACGAAACGTGCACGTGAAGTGTGGGATGACTACTTGAGTTCCGCACCTGCTCGTGAACCTAAACCGAGAAAACAGGTGACACCATCTTTTTAGACGTGTCTGTTTATGTCAGCAGACTTGTGGGCCACTGTGTACCTGATTTATTACACATGCTTCTGACAGTCAGTTTATGTCAGCAACCTATTAGGGCCACCGTGTACTTGATTTATGTCAACCTAGTGGGTCACTGTATACCTGTAATAAATATTTATAATAAATATTTATTACAGATGCTTCTGACTATCTGTTTATGTCAGCAGCCTCCTAGTGGGCCACTGTGTACCTGACTTATTACACTTGCTTCTGACTGTCTGTTTATGTCAGCAACCTAGTGGGCCACTGTGTACTTGATTTATGTCAACAACTTAGTGGGCCATTGTTTACCTGATGTATTAATTATTACAGATGCTTTTTGACAGTTTGTTTATGTCAGCAACATAGTGGGCCACTGTGTACCTGATTGATGTCAACAACCTAATGGGCTATTGTGTACCTGATTTATTACAAATGCTTCTGACAGTCTGTTTATGTCAGCAATCTAGTGGGCCACTGTGTACCTGATTTATACATCTGTCAGTAATTTAGTGGGCCCTTTTGTAGGATGTTTACTTATTACATTTGTGTTGCAGGCAAACCTAGTGACTCGGTGTTCTCCGGGACGGTTAGTCAACGTGTTGAAACACTTTACAGTTGACCAAAAAGAAGCGGTAAAAAGCATGGGATTCGGTAGTCTTCTTGACCTCAAATGTAGAACTTTGAGACGCAGTCTATGCCTATGGCTTCTAGAAAGATTCAACACAATACGACGTAGTTTAGAGATTTGTGGTGAAAGAATCCCATTATACCCTCACGATGTTGAACTTGTAATGGGCTTACCAGCATCCGGAAAAGATGTGGTCAACTCAGGACCCGATGACTTAGTTGCAGAATTAAGACAAAAATATAATGCTTCAAATCGAGGGATTTCGGTTAGGTTTCTTGAAGAAAGATTAGGGCAACCGGAAGCAGGAGATGATTTCAAAAGGGCGTTTCTTTTGTATGTTTTGGGTACCCTTTTGTGTCCAACTGCAAGATTAGATGTTAGCCCTTCGTTTCTTCATCTGTTGACTGATATGGATTGTATTCATGAGTATAATTGGGCTAAATTCTTGCTTGATCGGTTAGTTAGAGAGGTGTCAAGGTTTAGACAAGGGAAACAAAGAGCAGTTGGTGGGTGTCTTTTGTTTCTTCAGGTGAGTTTTTGAATATATTTTTGTTTTTTTTAATGTGGGGTTTAAGATTTGATGATGTTTTTACAGATTTTTTACTATGAGTGTGTTGCGATTGGAGGGAGTTGTGAACCAGGTCCTGTTGTTGTTCCATGTTTATCGTTGTGGACAGAGGAAGCTATTTCTGAGAGAGAGAAACAGGAGAAAGAGCTTGGTGGTTATGGATGTGGAGAGGTAAGTTTTTTTTTTTTTTTTTGGATTTAAATGATTTTTTTTACATGGGTATACATGTACATATAGATATATGCGTATAATATACATATACATATGCAATTTTAAGAAAAGTTAGTGTTTTTTGGACAATTGATGGAAATTAAATTCCAAAAAGAACATTTCATACATGATATACCCTTTGTCCAAAATGTATTTGGATCTTTTGTAAGCTTGCAAGAAATCCAAGTACTATGTTTTTAAAATTTTTTTTGATCAATTCATTTTTTTTTTCATCTAAAAATTTTAATATTTGTTTTTCATTTGAAGGTGATATGCAAGGAGAGAGGTCTTGGATTGGGATTAATAAATGACAGGGATCATGTTGATGTCCTCCCATTAAGAGAAGTCGCTGTTAGAGTTAACCGTGGTATTCTTGTTCGACAAGAAGAAAATCTGGTAAAAAAATTACCATTTTTTTAAAATTATATAATTTTAAATATACAATTTCATCGGAATCGGAATCGAAGATTCCACCGGAACCGGAATCCAAGATTCCACTGGAACCGGAATCCAAGATTCCACCATAACCAGAATCCAAGATTCCACCATAATCGAAGATTCCACCGGAATCGGAATCCAAGATTCCCATCGGAATCGGAATCCAATACTCCAACCGGAATTGGAATCCAATACTCCCACCGGAATCGGAATCCTAGATTCCATTCCATGGCATGTTTGGTTTCCGATTGGAAAGAATCCAATTCCGTCATCCTTTCCAGGGGAGGCGGGTGGAAGGAATTCAATTCAGTTCAATTCAATTCAATTCAATTCGGTTCGTTTTTTCTTTTTTGTTAAAAGACGAAAATACCCTTGTGGCTGCAGGAAAACGTACCGTTTGCATACAAGAACGAGAACACGCCACCTGTCCGAATCGACAACTACACCTACAAAAACACACTAGAGTACACACACACAAATCGCAACATATACGCATCCCAAACCACATGCCCTCTTCTAAACTGCAACTTCACAGGATTATTCACAGAATTATCAAATCATTTCACCACCAAACATTGGGATTCCGGAAGGCGATTCCAGTATTCCTCCCCATTACCAGTGTCATTAGGAATGGATGAAACCTTCCTTGTTCTTCAAGCAGAAGAAGATGGAGCTCTTTTTTTACTCAATAAAGGAACCGAAAACATCGGACATACGGTTATGGTAACGTGTATTGGCCCGAGTCACAGTAATGAGCGATTCCATTACTGTCTTGTGTCGGAAAGAGGGAATAGCACATTGCGGTTGAAATCCTTCACACAGACTCTTCCTGGAAGGGTTGAAGGAATTCCACCTTCGGATTTTCTTTTGGTGCCTTTTGGGTATTTGAATTCATCTGGGGAATTGAATTTGGAGGTTTGTATATGGAATCCTTCGGATTTAGCTGAAGTTTGATTAAAAGAAAGAAAAAAAAAAGTTATTTTTTCGAGAGGAATCGACTTTTTTAACCATTGTTTCAGGTTATGAAAGTTGGTTGCTCTGTTTTTTTTAATGGGATTTAGGAAGTGTATGTAGTAGGATATGAATATGATGGTGAAAGAATGTGATTTCTTTTTATAAGTTTGAGGTTATTTTTGTTTATCTTATAGTAATAGAACATATATATAAGTGATGTAAGTTTTTTTGAATATATAGATTTTAAAGCTTGCAATTTCTGATGATATGGTGGATATGTGACTTCGTAGGTTTTTTATAATAGATATTTATGATTTTGTGAATGAAAATATAATTAAACTATTGTTATATTAAGAAATTGGATTTAGAATTATTCTTGCATGCTCTTTCACAACAGCATAAACAGTGATCTTACTTGGAATTTACCGCAAAAAAAAAAAATTGTTAATTTTTTTTTATTAATAATAGCAAAAAACTTGATACTTTCTACCATTATAGCATTTTGACATACAAAATCAGGTCAAATACAGGCATGTGTATATCTACAAATGTTATAAATACTATTTGATGACAGTTTTAAGCATGACATGGTTTGCATTCCATGATGCCAATTCTTTAAATATGACTAAACGTTTAAACGTGAATGATTATGTTATATGATGAAATATATTAACAGTTGTGTTTTAAGTTTTTAATTAAATGCATTTAGATAATGACAGTTTTTTGTTTTTACAATACACCATGTTTCGAGAACAATTATTCTGTGTTTATGCAGTCAAGATTTTGGTCTAGATATGAGACCCACCGGTCAAGGTTAACTATAGGAGGTCAAAGGGGGGGGGGGGGGGGGGTCAAAGCATGGGTTAAGTAAGGGTTGTTAAAAGTAGACTTCCATCCATTATATTCAAGGGATAACATCACAGATGTCATACAAACTCTCGAGTTTTATTTTAAAAGGTCCTTTGTGTTTCTTTTGATAGTATATGTGCTTAAAGTCTAGTTTTATGTGTTAGAAAACTCATTATCTACAAAATGAGGGGGGTGAACCGGTCATCTTTTGTCTAGTCAACCAAGTTATGTGTTGCATTGGCCCGCCGTGTCAGAGAATGCCATAGAGAGTGCCATTCGGAATCCATAAGAGAATAAAATATCATGATTCACAGTCTTTTATTTCTCGTTTCAAGCACAACCCTTCTCACAATACCTCAAGATCAATATTCACTTAAGGAATGTTCATCATGAACCCATTTTGTTACTATGATTCTATATAGATCATGTGTTTTTTTTCGAGGATGTTGAGAATAATGATTTACACAATACAACGATTTACACAAGAGAAGTACGAGAATCTGTACTATTGTTAGCTAGAAGAATGATTGTGTGAAGGATTAAGGTTGAATTCTAATGAGATTGAATATCTTGAGTTCATCGACATTATATGGTTGTAGAGTCCAACTGCTGATGTACATCGACCATTTTGGTACGAACATACATGTATGGTTTGATGAAGACAAATATAAAGTTGTTAGTTTTGAGGAAAACTAAAACTATTCAAGTGTAGCATAGCAGATATGTCAAGAGAAATGGATGATATAATTAACCTAAATGATTTCAGTAGTCCAATGAACAAGACCAAACAAGGATTCTCTTTTGAGTAAGTTGTGCCCTAATGGAATCCCACCCTGGAAAGACTACCTCGTGATGATCCAAAACGGGTTATTAGGATGATACAGTGTTGACTCAGGTGAGAATGTCACATACTTTAACGCCCACAACTTCGGACTAGACAATTAAGATATAATAAGTGATCATTATTATAATTTGAACATTCGAGTAGGGAAATCGTTAGTCTCGTGTGTCGCAGACTGCCTATTATAAGTGTTTTATGGAATTTATCGATAAGCGATAAAACGACATTTTGATAGAAGGTTATTTGGATAAATAGTCTTAACCAAAGTTATAGTAGATGTGAAAAGGATCCTGTACATATAAAGAACTCTGAAATCCGACTTCGTATGAAAAAATTATGCTTCTTCGAAGTTTCGCGATTAAATCGACACAGTTATGTGTGTCGTAAAAAGTGAAGTTTATATAGGTTTCTTATTAGCTTAAGTAATCTAAATGAAAGTCGTAGTAATCGTAAAATCTAGAGCGTGCATAAAGAGTTCGTCCAAATCTAAATTCGTATGAGGAAGTTATGATTTTTCGAAGTTTCAACGCAGTAGTGCGGACAAAGAAATCGAAATTCAAATTGGTTTACTGTTAGATAAAACAATCTAAATGAGTGTTGAAGATCTCGTGATTAGGAGTCCGTCGATATAAAGACAATCAAGAATGAAGTTCGTACGAAAAAGTTATGAATTTCGCACGGACTTTAAAAATCTAAACCGGTCTATATATGAATTTTAGTTAGAATGAGAATTAGTTATTGAGACTTTAATGAAAGTTGTAGAGCTCGTCAAGAGGATTCCGGGAATATAAAGAAAATTGAAAACGGAGCTCATATGTGAAAGTTATGGCCATTCGAAGATCTACGAGAATTTACCTAAGCTGATGACGTGGCACCACCTGGTGGCGCCACGTGGCGTGGTCGGATAGCCGGCTCCTCCAAGAGACACGGTGACATGGTGTAACATGGTCGTGACACGTGGCGTAGAGAGAATAGGCCACATGTCATCTTCTAGAAGGGATGACGCGGGCTTATGCGATTGTGACACGTGACACGTTTCTGATGGGCCAGCACACTCCTCCTGAGGCGCGGCGCGCCTCTTGTCTGAATGTTGCACGTCCCCTGAACCCTATATAATGTTGCCGATTTTCTTCTCATTTCCTCACAAATCACTAAAAGTCTCTCTAAAATCTCTCTAGCCTTTGAGTTCGATTCTTCCCAACTTTTAGAACATTTTAGTAGAAACTCTGGAGCTCTAGGAGCCTAACGAAAATAAGTGTTCGGGTCGGAGTTCTGCCCACACAATTTAGTGGTTTTCGTTAAAACCACTGTAAGTTAAGCTGCACTTATTTTATTTCAAGTGTAACTTATATTTATATTCATAGTCGTTATGAATTTATAAATAAGATTTATAAGTGATTCCAAGTTATTATATTGATTGATCTACTTATGAGGGTGATGTCTAGGCTAGATTTCGTGAGGTGTTTAAAGTGTAATTTCCAAACAATATAATTTGTATACCAAACAGACCATACCTCCAGAATAATTTTACTTGGCTGCTCCTTACTTGATAGATCTTGATGTAAATATTGGGATTATTGAGGTATCTAGACTATCATTAGTCATAAGAAATATGAGACTAAGACTTAATGATAATCATACCTAGGTCACATCAAAGTAAAAGTCAAGGTGTTAAGCGGAGTGCTGCCAAATTCACTAGTTATCAATTTTAACAAGTGACTTAATGATAATAATACCTCAGAATGTTCTGAACAGTTGTTTAATAACTTTAGTCACACAAAGTTCTAGTCCCTTTTCCCTATCAATGTCCAAGGTATTTTGGAAAAATCAGAACAAGTGAATATCATAACATATGCAATCGATCCTATATCCGAAGCATATGGGACTCAATTCATAAGACCTTGTATCTTTTGCTACAATATTTCCATATATTGATTTTCCTATGTTGGATCATTTCAACATGATATTCATATATATTCATGACTAAGTTCTATTAGAACCTTCAATCTAAACTTTTAGATTTGAAACGAAGTATGAGTGCTCTCTCCCTTAAGTCTAGCATAGAGAAACAATTTCCAAACTTTGCAACTTGCAAATTTGTAAGCTTTGTTTCCTACAAATAGTATTGCCAACTTGCAACACTTAGCATAACAATTATGCTCCCACTAGCTTTGACATGTATTCAGAAATCAACTGGACTTGTAGAAGTCAATACTCTTGACTTTCTTACTAAAATAAATATTTCTAATACGTGATGCTTCGATAAGTCTCTAGCTAGACTTCTCAAGCATACACACCTTTCATTAGATAGCATATATGTGTGTGTTTAAACCCTTTAAGAACTTATAACCATATGTACCGAAGGTTCAAATAATTCCTTGCCATTTCTCACAATTCGAACTATGAAAAGGGATGCTGTAATCATATTGTGAATTTGAGAATGCAATTATCACAACTACTAACCATGATGTTACTTATCAGATCTTTAAAATCTATTAGTGAAAGTGTTTCCTCATAATCACTCATGAATTAGAGAGAAACCTTTTTCCACCTAGATTTTATGATGTACATGTTCCTATCTATGTGAATCTATCATTTCCAACCCACAATCATAAGATAAGGTTGAGGACAAAACCAAAATCAAATTTAGTTTTCCTTTCATGGACATAACTTTGCTTATTCTTAATTTCCTGCCTTCTGGCAGCACAAGAGCCTACCAGTGCTTCCGCGTTGTTAAGCAGCTCACCCATATTGATCAATGTACATTCACTGACCAACGTGCTCTGCCTTTTGCAGTCAAATGAGAACCCTAGAACTCATAAGCATTGCCAACTCAACTGGAAAGTACACAGAAACAAGAATGTGTCAACTTAACATGATAGGTTATCAACCTCAGCCCGTGTGTTAGTGGTAACTAAAAGGTTTATTCTCGATTGGTTCCTGAACTTTTCAAGATCAATAAGGCTCCCACTGACTTCTTGACATATAAGTTTTCTTTCTCGAGGAACATTCCTTGACGAGCAAAAACAAATATTCAAAAGTTAGTGTGGATTCTAGACAAGAAAACACTTCATTGAATTTGGTCTTAGTTTATCCTTTGTTTTAACCAAAAACATCACAACTACCAATTCCATATGTGATAGAGAAAGAAAACATTATTACTCCACATTTCATGAGGTGTTATAAACCTACTTAGTATGAAATGAGCTTCAAGGTATGATTTGTAGTAACTAGAGCATGGATCTAATACTTGATTGGAATCAAAGTATGACTCACCTCCTGATTGAACCATTTCAACAATATCCGATTCCTCTTCTTAGTCAAACAATTGCACTAAGATGTTCTTCGAAGATCAATTGTGATATAGTACAACAATCATTAAGAAGATCACAAAACACGATACTAAAGTACTCTCCTTTCCTTTCAGATTGGAGAAACTTTTATCTTTCTGCCTAATTGATTCTTCTTATCCGTTCTGCTACTCTTTGAAACTTTTTCAAAGTATAAGAATTATG